AAATGAACCTTGTTAAGTGATGAGGAAAAAATTAACTTTTTCTTGATTTTCTTTAGTATTCTGAGACTAGAGTTGGTGTTGATAATGCTATTGATTCTTTAATTTATAGCTGTTCAGCTTGTCTTTGGTTATAAAGACCCCCAGATCTTGTACTCCAAAAGATCCAGGAGGCTGCAGGACCTAGAGGAGAGAGCTGAGACCTAGAGTCAGAAGACTTAAGTCTTGCATCCTGGCTTTGGCCCTGGGCCTGATTTTCCTTATATAAGAAATGAGAGATTAGAGAACTCTTAAGTGACATTAAAAGGTCTTTCCTTCCTAAAACTCCAGTGACCTCTACCTGTGAAGTGGTCTGTACCTCCTCCTTTCCTGGAAGCCTGATTTCTGAGGAACATATTATTTATAATACCTGCCCAGGAGGCATTTATGGCTGCCAGGTGTAACTGCAGACAGAGCTTCTGTCTGCCTGTCTATTCCTTGGTCTTGGAGAAGGACCCCAAGTCATTCTGTTCTACTATATAAGGCAAGTTATATGCATTTAAAGGTTTAAATTTCTGTGAAAATGCAAGTGAAATATTCACAACAGACAGAAACACTCATACAGATGTATAGGCCTTATATGATTGTTCCATAAGAAAAAAATTATGGGCTGGGGATGTGGCTCAAGCTGTAGCGCGCTCACCTGGCATGTGTGCGGCCTGGGTTCGATCCTTAGCACCACATACCAACAAAGATGTTGTGTCCGCCGAGAACTAAAAAATAAATATTAAAAAAAAATTCTCTCTCTCTCTCCTCTCACTCTCTCTTAAAAAAAAAAAAAGAAAAAAATTATCAAAGTCTTCAGTTAATAATGATTAGAAAAGAGAGGTCTTCAAGACATGTTCTGGGAAACACTGGCTCTTAAAAATTAATAGATTGTGTCTGTGTGTTGTGCTAAGAATGGAACCCAGGTCCTCATGCTAGGCAAACAAGCACTCTGTATATCAGTAAGCTACATCCCCAGCCCAATAGGCATTACTTGCACACAGTTTGTGACTTCTCTGGACTCTTAATATTCTAATGTGTGTGTTGGATATTTTAAAGAGTTTGGTTGTGCAGTATTTTAAAAATTATTTGCTTTTGAAAAGCTCCCCTCCTTTCTTTATAGAATATTTCATTGGATCTAGTGTTCTAAAGAACATAATACAGGAAATTTTGACACATACTGTTAGATCTGCATTAAACACTATGCCTGTACATAAGCTGGAGAGAAAACTGAATTATATTTTTCTCCAAAAAGGAAAATAGAAAATGCTTTTAACCTTATTCTTTGCAAAAATGTTGTTTTATTTTGAGTTATATTTCTTATGCTTATACTATTTCATGTTTTGATAGCAGTGACAAGTTATATAATTATGCCAACCATTCAGTAGTTAGTGGAACTTTGAAAAATGTTTTTGGTTTTTAAAAACCAATCTTATTACTAAAGTGCTTTCTTTATGAAACTTTTTGCTGTCTAGTTCACAGTGAGCTCTCAAATATATTTGATGAATAAATGTTTTATTGGATCTATTATTGATATTTATTTTATATTTATTAAAATAAATCCTAATTTTTAAGAGAATAACATATTTTTCCAATATGTATTTTATATCTAAAGAATTCTAAAGCAGAACTACTAATCTGTCTAAGCCATATTAATTGGTGATAGAATAAAAACTTCACATTTATTTCCTATTTTTAATATTCTCAAAGATTTCTAGTTAAAACAAGAGTTTATGATTCTTACTTGATCCTCTCTCACTATTAGTTCACTTAGCTTTCATTTCAGTTTTCAATAGTTTTGTCATTATAACAACTGGGTTTAGTGGCCAACAAAAAGCTGCCAAAAGCTTTCATTCCATGGAATTCCCTACTTTGGTGTCGTAGATTTTCTCATGTAAGTTTCTGGACAAAATAGAACATCCTGTCTCATGACACTTAGAAAGTTTTTCCCTGTTTTGAGTCAAACTTGGTGGTAATGAGAATCCCAGCACTATATACTTGTTTTATGTTTTATCGATTCCACCTTTCTACTTCCACTTTCTCTCTACCCCAGTGTTTTCTCTCCCCCAACAGCTAGATGGAAGATGAGTGGCTGCTTAAATATTTAAAAGTTAAGTCTGGATTAAGTATGACTGTACTGAATTATGTTTATTTTTAAACTGATTTTATTCATTACATAAATTGAATACATTTTAGCAAAATTAATTTAGCTCATTAATTGTCCATTTTTATTCCATGTTTTCCTTTAACTGATCTTTAGAGCTCTCAATTTTCTTAGCAATGACAAACTAAAGTAGCTAATACTCTAAAAATGATACTGTTTTCTGTTTCTTATCATATTAGGTATGAGCAATTAATTTGAATAAAATGCTAGTGATTTAAGTCTTTCTAAAAATCAAACATCACTTCAGTGCTTGGTTTAATGTACATTAATTAAAGTAGTCAATACTTATACTCTGGCATATGTGAACTTGTGCTTCTTTATCACTTTTCTGAACTGTTCATTTTAAGGAAGGTGACACTGTTTCAGTAGCAAGCACTTGATTTTGACATCAATAAATTCTACATGTTTTAAAAGTTATTGCCACAGCTGAAATAATAGTGTTTCACTTCTTTTTTAATACTGAAGCTGGGTGTGGTCCCTTAAAATAGTTATGAAAAAGACCGGTTGGTATTTTGCCATAGTTCAGTACATTTCTGTATAAAAAGCTATTGCCTTTGCTTAACTTGAAGAAATGTTTAAGTGAGAATAGTTTGTTAGTGGTCTCTTATTGTTCAGCCACAACATTTTTATCTTAAATGTTTGAAGTGTGAAATAAAATGGATTTTAAAGTCAAGAAGGAAAAAAAGTGAACTACTGTTTTGAAGATTAGCTCATTGATACATCTCAATACAAGCAAAATTCTTTTATAAAATCAGTTTTGAAAGAATATAGTAAGTCATAGCTAAATGGAATTGATGGAAGTGTGTGGTTTTATTGAATATCTTGTGTGTTGTATAGAAGGCATTGATGACTGGGACAAATTTAACCTGTCCATACTTAAGTTTTCACACCTGTAAAATGATCATAGCTAACTCAGAGTTGTGGGGAGGATTAATTAAATTAATGTTTATAAATCACTTAGGAGAGCCAATCAGTAAGTGCTCATTAGTTATTAATAAGTGGTTAATAATTAATAGTATTTGTTATTAATAAATTATTTGATTATTATATTTATACTTAATTATTTACTAGTTTTGCTGGAGTTGAGTGGTATATTTGAACAACAATGATTGGGGATATTAGACTTTATGTAGAAAAGATTGTTTACTGATGGTTTCTATACATAGCTATTTAAGAGGATGAATAAACCTGAGTATTTTGCAAACTATGTATAAACATAATTTTCAAATGTAATCTGTTTTCAGATTAAAATTGCATATTTTCTAAGCTTTTATATTGAAATTTTTAAAAGATTATAGAGATAATTAAATATTATTACTTGTGTGTCTGAGAGGCATATCTCGCTCAATAATAGGGTTTTTTTGTGAGTTGCTATCCTAACTGTTTGTTGAAGACACAGTAATTGAAGAGTATCCACTAGCCTAAGCACCAGGGGCCAGGACAATACTGTTACTTCCCTTTACTCCTCTTTTACCTTTCAAAGAACATTAACCAAATACAAAATCACCAAATCCCCAATTTACTAAACTTTTTGTAAGTCATACAGAAAATACATTCAGAAAAACATGTCAGTTTTTTTTTCCAAAATATGTCATTTTGTAAGCATTGTAGATGTTGTACACAGTTCTTTGCTTTTATGATCTAGACTTATTCCTAAAGACATTTCAGAAATATCTTTTTTGGAAGGACCTAGAAGTCTCAGTAGCATTCTTCAGCTGCCTGCCCTGATAATTTCTTTTATGAATCTCGTGAATCTCCCCTTTTCATTTCCACCTTAGCTATTCATATTCTTATTCTGAATATTGTTTAGATAGTTTGAAATAACTTAAATGATTTTTCCTTCAGTTTTTCCCCTTTCCTTTAAATTATGTATGCATTGCATACCTGTATCACAACAGTCAAGGGGTTTTTTGTTTGTTTTTTAGAAAGAGTCTCACTGTGTTGCCCACACCGGCCTTAAACTCTTAGGCTTCTGCCTTAGCCTTCCCAGTAGGTGGTACACATAACTATGCCCAGCTCACAACAGTGTTCTTAAGGGCATGTCTGTTAAAAAAAAAAAAGAACAATAAAAACACACTTCTGTGTAACTTATTGTTAAAGAAATCCTAGATTGCTCAGCAAGGTGTTTGTGGAAGGTCCGTTTCAGAATGACTATGCCCTACTTCACTTTACTTTTCAAACCTATCCCTCTGCTTTCAGTTGGGGATTTTAAGTAATTGAACCATGACAATTTTCCAAACTCTTTGATTTGGAAATCCTCTCTAGTCTTTGGGACTGGATTCCTAATATAGATCTTGTTCTTTTCCTTTAGGACATAAAAGGAACTTATTTTGCTGAAGCTTATAGATTGAGTGTCTCTCTTTTTAATATAGTGATTTTGTATATGTTTTATCACACATAATAGAACATGAGCATATTAAAAGCAAGGACTGTGCCCTATCACATCTGTTTTATAGCTTATTTTATAAAACAGATTGACTATAAAATTTGCACCATTCACCACAAATACTGATTTTGTTAATATTGCCTACGTTTTTAAACAAGTCAGAATTGAGCTTAAATCAGAATTAAATTAGACTATTGTGCTATCTTTCAGATATCTTTTAGTAAATTTCAGGCTTTATGAGAAGATGGTTGGAATGGAAGATGTCAAAAATCCCTTTTCATTGCCCTCCCCCTTTTTAATTTTCTGTTTTCTTTTTTAAAGTTAGTATTTTGGGGCTAGAGTTGTAGCTCAGTGGTAGAGTGCTTGCTTGCCCAGCAAAATGTGTGAGGCACTGGGTTCAATCCTCAGCTCCAAATAAAAACAAATTAATAAAATAAAGGTATTATGTCCATCTACAACTAAAAAAAAAAGCTATTTTTTAAAATAAATAAAGTCAGTATTTTAACTTACAGATAACAAAGATAGTACATATAAATGGGGTAACATGTTTTGATACATATATATTGTGTTATATTTAAATCCAGTTAACATTTTCTACTCACGTATCATTTCTTATGTTTAAAAACTTACAAATTTTTTTCTTTTTTCTTTTGAAATGTAGGATGCATTTAYTTATCCCCCCACCCACCCCTACTGGCTCCAACCCCTGGTAACTACCATTCTACTTTCAACTTCTRTGAAATCAACTTTTTTGTATTCCACATGAATAAGATTTTGTGGGTCTTRTCTCTGTGCCTGGCTTACTTCATTAATATAATAATCTTGTTCCATCATGTTGTTGCAAAGGATAGGATTTCTTTATTTTTATGACTGAATAGTATTCCATTGTGTATATATAACACTTTTTTTTTATCCACTTATCAGTTGATGGACTCTTAGGTTTCCATTTCTTGGCTAATARGAATAGTGCTGCTATGAATATGGGAGTGCAGGTGTCTCTGCAGCTTACTGATTTCCTTTCCTTTGGCCATATATCCTGGAGTAGAATTGTTGGATCATATCATAGTTTAATTTTTTTAATCTTTTGAGGAACCTCCACACTGCTTTCCATAATGGCTATCTTTGTTGCCCTTTAAATCATATCTAGACCTATCACCAAACCAAACTTGATTTAGAATTGGTTGTGGCATATTAKTTTAGAAGAGAATATATACTCATCTCTCTCCCACTTCTCAGCCCTTCGTCTTCTGATTCTCTTCTCTAAAATCTGCAAGGTGCTAGAAAAGGAATAATAATTTATTTAAAGAAGTATAGATCTCTTTTGTAAATTTTTTAAATTGTAGATGGACACTATATCTTTGTTTTATTTTTTTTTTAATGTGGTACTGAGGATCGAGCCCAGTGCCTCACACATGTGAGGCAAATGTTCAACCACTGAGCTAAAATCCCAGTCCCTATAGATCTGTTATAAATAAAAATTCTTGATTTTAGTAACTGCAAGTTAAAATTATCTTGGGATTTATAGCATTTTTTTTCCCTACAGAAAACCATAGGCAAAATTGCAACATGCTTGGAATTGCGAAGCGCAGCTTTACAGGTAAATGGATTTTTTTAATGAATTATTCTAAATTGTTCTGATAAGATATTAGACATTCATGCCCAAAGCARTATTATCTCAGAAGGGTTTTATAACAATTGGAATTGATCAGTTGAACTCACACTTAAATGATTTAGTTCATACTTTGTACACTATAGAAATAAAAGATATGATTTTAATTTTTTCTGTTTCTATTAGCTTGAATATTCCAAAAATCAGTTTGGAACTTTTCATTTTCTACCTTTAAAGCAAGAAATATATTTATTTTAAATATTTKATTCTTGCCACTTAAAAGACATAGGGTGCAGTGAAATCTTTGTAATGAAAAGATATAATATGCATATTTTAAATTTAGTCCACACAGTCCCAGGAAGAATTTAAACTGGAGGACCTRAAGAAGCTAGAACCAAGTAAGTTTTGTTTTATATTTTTTAGTGATATTCCTTTAGGAAGAGAGTTTTATCTGTTGTGAATATTAAGATTGTTTAGCACAGAAAGTGATTGGATTTATTTCTCTTATTTTTTTGGTGCTTTAAAAATTCCTACAATATTTGCATTTTTAATTAYCATTTGGATTTAATCTTTATTATAGAATATATATGTTGTACTTCATCTAAATATCCAAATTAACCTTTAATTTGTCTTAATGGCTTTAATAAGATTATAATTATTTTGATAAACATTTTCAGTAGAGTCCAGTAGAGAATATAAGGTTACTGTCATTAATGCCCATTCACATTACATGTTATTGAAAACTACAGTCTGAATGTTGGGAATGCATTACGAAGTGTTTTTTTGTTGTCTCCATTTTTTCCCTTCTTCAAAACTTTTCAAAAGTAAAAAATTCCTTCAGTTATCTTGTTGGTTAGGATATTCCCAAATAAAGCCTTTCTGCTGTTTCAAATGATTGCTCTCTTAGAACTGTCTGCAGTATGGGCAAAGGCAYAGTGTGAATAACTGAATGAATGTAAGTTAATGTAGCCTTTTTTTAAAATTTTTTTAGTTGTAGACAGATACAATACCTTTATTTTATTTATTTGTTTTTATGTGGTGTTGAGGATCGAATCCAGTGCCTCACACATGCAAGGCAAATGCTCTACCAACTGAACTATAACCCAGCTCCTGTACTCTTTTTTTATTGAGATAAGATTGCACATCTCAGTGCATTTATGTGACTAGGGAATAGTAGATTTTATTTATCCAACTAAGTAAGATTTTTAAGTAGGGAATCATAAAATCAAAGCATTTTCAAACAGAAAGGAGTCTCAGACTTGTGGTCACATTCTCTATTGAGGAAAGAAATGAAATGATTTGTTTGTCCTGTTTCACTTCAATCCCCAGTAACTGAGCAGGGCCTAAATCTCAGAACATTTGTCAGTGTATCTCAGTTCACACTAGTGCAATCCTTTTAATGTAAACATGCTTTGAGTAAGAGGTAAAAWATTAATTTAAGAACTAAAGAGAGCCTTGCACAGTGGTGCATGCCTGTAATCACAGCCGCTCGGGAGGCTGAGGCAGAAGGATATCAAATTCAAAGCCAACCCTAGCAAAGCAAGGCACTAAGCAACTTAGTGAGACCCTGTCTCTAAATAAAATACGAAATAGGGCTGGGGATGTGGCTCAGTGGTCAAGTGCCCCTGAGTTCAATCCCAGTACCCCCTGCCAAAAAAAGAACTAAATAGAATGTTCCTATAAATTCCACAAACTGCCAATATCTAATTCATTATAGCAATTCTAACAAAGACATATATTATTGAGATAGCTGAAATGTGATTGTATTGCAGATCCAGGVTAGAAAAAGGATTCTCAGAGTATACTGAAGGGGATCTGATTTTCTGTTGTTTGGGTTGGAAAAGAGAAGTTAACAACAACAACAGACAACAACAAAGGAATGCATAGCAGATTTGTTGTGATTCTGGTGGCTTTTCCACAGTTTTAGATGATCATATTTCATTTCTTCAGAACACYATCCTTCTGAATATGGCAAGAATTCTGATGAACTCTGTCATTTTAATAGTTTTGGTTACTTTATGTAATCCAGATCATAAAGTTTTTTTTCTTGGTGGTTCTGGGGATCAAACCCATGACCTCACACATGCTAGGCAAGCGTTTTACCACTGAGCTACATCTCCAGCCCTAGATCATAAGAGTTGGAGATGTTACAAGAGACACAACTTATATTCCGAAATAGTTCTTATGCCTATATCCAATGTATATAAGGATACTAATCAAWGTAATATTTCTCACAAATTTTGGGGGTTTTTTGTACCTAAAACTTTATTTTTCAAAAGCATTAATAAATACTTTGTATAAGATTGAGATATAATTTATATAAAGCACAATTCACCAATTTAACATATCATATTCAATTTTTTTAGTAAATTGGAAGAGTTATGCAGACATCACCACAATCAATTTTAGGACATTTTCATCACCACAAGAAGAAACCCTATTCCCATGAGCAGTCATTCACTTCTTGCCATCCCCCTAAAATCCCTTCCAATTCCCAGCCCTAGGAAACCATTAGTTTGATTTCTGTCTATAAATTGTCCTATTRTAGACATTTTATTTAAATGGACTCATATGATATATGATCTTTTATGACTGGCTACATATAAAATTATTTTGAGAAAAACACATTGATGGCTTTAAATAAAAGATTGCAACAGTTGTTTATACGGTGGTTCTACTGAAAATTATGTTTGTATGTGAGTGTGTGTGTGTGTGTGTGAGAGAGAGAGAGAGAGAGAGAGAGAGAGAGAGAGAGAGAAAGAGATAATGCTGGGGATTGAACCAAGGGCTTTGGGCATGTTAGACAAGTGCTTTACCAGTAAACTACGTCACCAGCCCTCAGTTTTTTATGATAAAAATAATTAGGATTTTGGCTTCTTATTCAGTCACTATTTCCTATTAGTTGTTTGTTTCCAAACAAAATTTAAGAATCTTATAGATACACAGAGTGGCTGTAAAGACTGTGGATGTTTGTTTCATATATTTATTATCTCTTCTCTTCCTCTGAGCATGCTCAAGTACTTCTATTGCCTCACAATATCTTTCATTAATTGCCCTTTTTTTTTTTTTTTTTTTTTTTTTTTAGAATAGCATCTATATGCTAAGCACTCGAATCCTCTCAGTAACATTTTGCTAAGGACAACACCGACACTAGCTTGTAAATCCCAGGAATAAGTTTTAGGGTCACCTGGATCGGTTCTTTCACTATGCTGTTAGTAATACCTGTAGTGGTGCTGTACTACATCATTCCTAAGTACAGCTCTCCAGTTCAAATTCCTAAGAAATTATTGACCCAYGTATTAGTCGAAGATCAGGTTAAAATCTATTACTTTTTTGGCTTTTTAAAAAAGATTTGGAGTAGAAATGGAAAGAGTATTTTGGAGATTCACTTTATTATACTTTATATAATGTTTTTCATTTGTACTTTTCCCTTCTTGATAGTTATCTTTTTAGATGATTTTAATTTGCTGTTGCTTCTCAAAGAAACATAAATG